AATTTAAAATTTTAGATTGGCGACAAACTCAATAAGTAAAAAATTGGTCATTAAAATTTGAAAAAACACCTTTCAGCATCCTAGATTTTCTATTTCCTTTTAAAATATAAAATATTTTTAAAATCTGGATGTGTATGAATGACACTATAGTGCCATATTTGGGCGCTATAGGCGTGCCAAACTTACCTATGAGTCATTTTAAATGCTTGGACCCAGAGATTTCACCATTTTTACCCTTGGTTTGTCTCCTTCCTCCATTTTTTGCATTTTGCTCCCCTAGGGCTTCAATTTGTGCTTGATTGGCTTGGAGATAGGCTTCCAAACTTGTTATTTCTTCATCTTTAGGTAAGATCTTCACCCAAGCTTTGAAATATTTTCATTTGACAATGGATTTCACCCACATTGTGGATTAGGCCGAAAATTAAAAGATTTGATGAAATAGTGTGAAATCCATGGTTAAATGATTATTTATGTTTGGATTGAGTTTTCAGGAGCCTCCTTGAAGTTGAGATAGTGACTTTTGGAATTTATTTTGAAAAATTTTTAGAATACACATGGCTCCTAAAATGAAGAGAGGCAAGGAAAAGTCAACTTTTGATTCTGTAAGTTCGCCAGTGCAAGGGCGTGGGATAGGTATGTTGATCTGCAATCAAAGAAGTTGATTTCAGAATGCAGTTTTCTACATCCTTGTGGTACTATTGAATATTTGATTGCAGAGCGACAGTGACAACACTTTTGTTATTTCACTATCATTTTTGTGATTTCTGTTGTTCATGAATTCTATGTCAACTTGCCCGATGAATCAGATGACTTTATTTTTGTGCGTTGGCAATATGTGGATATTAGTTCTGTTTGGATTAACCACATATACCAACACCACAGTGTTCCTACCTGCTTCTTTTCTAAGTTTCATCCTACTGATCCTGAATTAAATGAAATTATGGGATTTTTTACTGATGGAAATGGAGTTTAGAAAATTAAGAATGGGCGATGAGTGAACTTTTCTTTTTTAAAACTTAATGTTCATTCTCGAGCCTGACACTATTTTTTTTCTGGAAGATTATTGCCTACCAACCATTTTAGTGAGGTAACCCGTGAGAGCGCCACTTTGAACTATTATATTCAGATGAAGAAACATATTGACATTGGTTCCCTCATTTATCAAAGAGTGGAACTACTTGAGCTTGGGACAACCCTTGTCTTATTACTACTTTGTGTGATGGTTCTGGAGTGAAGTATGAGACTTGGGAAGAAACTTTACCATCTCATAAACCCATTGGAACATTGGAAATAAACCCATTGGAAAAACAAATTTGGAAAAATATGAAAGATATTTTGGGACTAGATATAGGACTGAAGTTAACATACCTTCTGTTTCAGCTTCTACGTCTGCTCCTGCTCCTGCTCCTGCTCCTGGACCATCTGCTTCTGAGTCTATTTCTCTGCATTCACTTATGGAACAAATGATGATTCAACAAGGAGATATCATAAATCTACATAATCAAGTGAAAGGGGTTGAATCTCATTTGTATCATAATGATGATATTATGATGAGGAAGATTGAGTATGATTTTTCTTATAATGAAACAATGTAAGTGCAACAATTTCATGATCTGCAAACTTTATTTTCTTGTTTAGTAAATCTTTCATAAATTTCACATAATTTGGCATTTGTTCCAGTTTGGGCGATGATTATGATGATGATGATGCTAGAGATGATGAAGAGTAATGTTTAGTGTGTCGTTTACTTTCTTTTCTTTGTTGTGTTTGAAAATTTGGACTCTGTTATGTTTGAAATTTGTTGCTTATGTTGAAATTTTTGAAATTTGTTGCTTATGTGTAATGTGCTTGTATTTAATTTCTTTTAAGTTTTTGTTTCTGTTAAACTTTTAGTTCCACTGTTTATTTTCTGCTCTAAATTAAATGCTAGAGTAGTGTTCATTTTATGTTTTTTATTGTTATGCATTTTAATCTTATGTTCATCACTACTCATTACTTGTCTTTCTTACTTGTACTTGCATTAATTTCCCTATTTTTAAATTTTTTTAAAAAAATTTTCTCTTCCTTCTCGAACTTTTCTGCTTTAAATTGGTTTAAAAATTTAAGCTTGGGAAGGGAAGAAAATTCTTTTTAAACTAAACCTTATTTTGTCCTCAGGAATTGTATTTTTCAAAATTATTTTTAACATAGCATGTGGTGTGTAGAGTTAACTTAAGAAAATTATGTTTTTGATTTTATGAAAGTTATAAAAAACCTAAGTAAAAGTATTTAATAATAAAGGTTAATTCTAGAATTAAGATGTTTAGTATGAAGGGTTTGGAATTATGCTTTTGATATTTAAAGTAAAGAATATTGTATTTTTAGAAATATTAAGGATCTTAGATTTATACTTGGAAAGAAAAAATTGAGACTTTATGAAAAATTTTAATGCTAATATGCATTTGTTAAAGTAAAGAAATGTGAGTTATTTTTAACTTTAAGGGGAGGATAGTGGAGTTCAAAATCATTAAATGCTATCCGGATATAGTAATCCTCGCATGATATATATAAAAAAAGAGAGAAAAAGAAAGGATTGAAAATGATACTAAAAGTAAAAGAAAAATAAAAGCAAAAAGAAAAAAAAATGTGAGGAGAAGCTTAAGGAGACTCCTAATCAAAAATTGGCTCTACTTGATTCATTTTAAGGAAAGAAACTTAGTTACATTTCTAACTTGCCTTAGAAGTATTAGCACATTTACTAATAAAGTTCTCATGCAATTCTCTTTCTGGTATTTCATCTAAGTATCTTAAGTATGACTAATTACAGTTATTTTTGAAATAGATAGAAAATCATAATTTTTAAACTTGGCTACTAAATGTTCCTGTACTTTAGCTTTTAACCTGAGTTGTTAAAATTTTTTCCCGAAAGTTTCACTATAGCATTTTATAAAGCAAAATTTATAGAATTCTATAAGTTAAATTTTTCACCACATGTTATAAATTTCATATAATATAAGGAGTTACTTGAGGACAGGCAACGTTTAAGTTTGGTGGAATTGATCTACCTCAAAATAACATGTTTTTAGTGCATTCTTTATAAGCCCTTTTATATATATTTTTGATAATATCGCACTTTAAAGGAAGACATTTTGCATGTTTTGATTTTAGGTACATGGAATGGACATTTAGGGAAAATGACTATAAAATGAAGATTTTTGTGTGAGGCTATAGCGCCACCCCTTGGTGCTATAGTGCCATCGACGGGTCAGAAAGGTGCTATAGAATACCAGACTGGCGCTATAGCGCCAGTATCTACCTTTCTAGAAGATACATCAAATTTGACAAAATTTTTTAGGGGTGTTTGTAGCAACCCTTGGTTATTTTCTGTATTCTATTTAATGAGAAGGATTTGACCGAATTTAGAGACCTTTTGAAGCCTCAAAACTTTAATTGGGCCCCAATAATGAGTTAGATTTTACATATCTAGTGTCCAAGTGTAAGTGTGAGTGTGTTTAAGTGTGAAGAAGTTTGAAGATTGCTTAAAGAGAACTCCAAAAGTTTCCTTGGGGAGAAGACAAAATGTACTTTGTGTTTGTGTTTGAGTTTTTGTTGTAAGACTTGAATTTCAATGCAAATATTTTTTTTTTGTTTAATCTCCATGAATTTTGAGTATTTCCCTTGCTTTCTTCTTGCATATGGGACTTAATCTCGTGGGATGAGAATGATTTAAAGATTTCTTTTTACTTTTAAAAATTGTGATGATATTTTCACTGAATCTTTATTTAGTTTGAGGTTAAAATCTGTTCAGAAACATAGTGACCAGGAGTGACCAGGAAGGGTTATGATTTCACCTAACTAGTGGATACCACACTTTATTATAGGCAGAGCCATGGCGATCACCTAAGGGGAAGTGCAAATAAATAGGGAGATAAGTTTTGATGGATATAGAATTGGTTAGAGAATTGGTTAGATCTAGTGTGACAGACTAGATTCTTATTAGTTTGGCTTATGGTTTAGTACCCTAACGTTGGGATTCGGTCATTACGATGGCATAGGCTAGGGGCATCTAGAGGTGAGAGGCTATTTAACACTGATGTTGAGTCGAGATGTTAAGGAATCGTCCTTAAGTTAGCTATTGTTCTTTGCAAGCACAGGGAGAGGGTAACTGATAAGGTATGCTTCTATTCGTCACAATATCTCGATTTGGACTTAAATCATTTGAATCCTACACAGATTAAAATCTCTTTGCAAGAGGAAATGTTTTCCATAATATCCAAACTCGGTGTTATATTTTGCTAAGCTTTTACATTTAATTGTTACTTTCTTTTTAAGCTCTTTTAGTAGTAATTTTTAGTAAGCATATCATTTTAAATCTTTAATCTTTTTAGATTGTAAATTAAATATAATTACTGTAAGTTGATTTTAAGAGTTATCGCATTCCTCGTGGGATCGATACTGGAGTTTTTAAGGAAATACTATATACTTGAAACGAAACATATACTTACGTGGTACCTCTAGTGTGAAAATCTATTATATAATTAATAAATCATTGCAAGTGTTCACACTAGCCATTAGATATAAATTGAGATATATTTTCTGACATATCACAATTAAGGAAATTAAAAATATGCGTAAGTGCGGGTTAGGTCAGTGACCTTCTCAATTTTGGGTTTTCTGACAGCTAGGGTGGCTGCTAACTGGCTTAGAGTGGTGAGGGGAAGGTTCAATTGTGATTACCACACCAATAATACATTCAAAATAGTGATTGGGTGATTTTGAGATGTTATTTTTCTTTAAACAACAACACTAACTCAAAATCACTTCCATAACACATTAATATCACATTAGTAAAAATTTTTATCTTGTCATTTAATTGGATTACCTCAATAACACATGAATAACGCGAAAAATATTCAAAATAACGTGAGGGAATATTTCTATGCGGTTGAATATTTCTATGACTCATTAGTCGGGTCGGGTCTTGCATTTTCATTCTTTTATTATTATTATTTTTTATGCAGGTAGGCCCGACTTTCCACGTGTCAGCTCGAGATTGGATTCCACAAGCAACTTTGCATGCGGAGTCTTATGTAATAATTTTTTCAATGCTCTCAGGATGGAAAGCCTATTTGTGCCATTGTTTCTCTTCGCTGGTCCCGAATTTGCTAAATCCGCCAATTCACATGATTTAGTAAATCCTTGATTTATTGTAAATTGGCCTCATTATCGGATTTATGGAGATATTTTTTTACTGTTTCACAGGATTGAGCAGAACTGAGCGTAAATCCTACATAAATCCTGATTGGTTGCCAAACAGCCCCTTGGCGTAAATCGTGCATAAATCCTGCTTAAAAGCGACTATCAAACAGACCGAGGTTTTGAGGGTTCATTCTATGAATGAAGTTCATAGTTGGGTCTAACTTGCTCACTACTGGACAAAGCCCAAAGCTTAAAACTTAACTCAAATTGAGAATGAGTTTTGTGTGTTAGAAATGTAAATATGATAATTTGGATATCAAATATGTAAATTGGTATATTTAAGGTTGTAAGGATGTAAATCCAAAATTTTTTGAATGAAGTTTGTGTTGCATCTAAAGGGATTGAGGGGGGTCATAGCGGGTTGCAGTTTATCAACTGAGTAAGCCCTAGATCCAAGCCCAAAGATGTTTCCTTCTTCTTCCTCGCGCCTCTATCTGCTCCTTCGAAGCTCTCGATCCCCCATCGCCCTCTTTTGCCCACTTCCTCCGCACCCGTTTCTCTCACATCCCGCTATTCTTTCTCCCTACGCCCGGCATTCTCCTCTCTCCCAGTTACCATCTCTCTCCTCCTCCTCCTCCTTCCTTTCCTTCTACACATCAATACCGGAATTCTTCGACCCCAATGAGTTCTCTTCCCTTTCTTCCGCTCCCACCCAGGAGTCCATGATCTATGTCCTCAAGAAACTTGATAAAATGCCTCAAAAAGCACTAAAGTTCTTCAACTTCGCTACAGCCCAGTACGGTCTTGTTCCCGGTCCATCCGCATACAATCTCATGCTCCGAATCCTCGCCCACAAGGACTACATCACTGATTTCTGGGCTTTCCTCAATTCCATGCAAGACAATGACCATCAGCTCGACGAAGGCACATTCCACGTCATTCTCGGCTACTTTAAGAAGCAAAAGCTCGTCGCTGAGAGTTTTGCCCTCACGCAGTTCTACCGTCGTGCTTCGGAGAAGTCCTCTACCGATGCAGCTGTTAAGTCGGCAGCCAAAATCGTTATGGATGCTGAAGGCTGGAGCAAGGATGTCGAGAAGAAGGTAGAAGATCTTAAATTATCTTTTTCCGAGGAGTTGGTTGCTAAGATTCTTAGGGAGTTGCGCAATTTTCCGCACAAAGCCCTTGGCTTTTTCACGTGGGCGTCAGGGATTCCAAATTACAAGCATGGATCGGTTGCTTACAATGCCATGGCCCGTGTTCTTGGACGCAGTGAATCTGTTGGGGAATTCTGGAGCTTGGTAAAGGGGATGGAGAATGATATGGACATTGATACTTATGTGAAGGTTACAAGACAATTTCTTAAGAGGAAGATGATGAAGGACGCTGTTGAAATCTATGAATTCATGATGGATGGACCATACAAGCCAGCTATTCAGGACTGTGGCATGCTTCTGAGGCAGATCTCTCTGAGCTCCAGTCCGGACATGGATTTGGTCTATAGGGTGGTGAAGAAGTACGAGTCTGCGGGATATTCTTTGTCAAAAGTTGTTTATGACGGAATTCATAGGTCTTTGACAAGCACTGCGAATTTTGAGAAAGCAATGGAGATCATGAAGAAGATGAGGGAAGTAGGGTATGAGCCAGATAATATTACATATAGCCAGTTGGTCTATGGGCTATGTAAGGCAAAGAGATTGGATGAGGCCTGCAGAGTTCTGGATGAGATGGAAGAAGGGGGATGCACTCCAGACCTGAAGACCTGGACAGTTTTGATTCAAGGATTGTGCTCAGCTGGTGAAGTTGACGAAGCTTTGCAGTGTTTAACAAAGATGATAGGGAAGAACTATGATGTTGATGCTGATCTTCTAGATGTGTTGGTCAAAGGGTTGTGCGGTAAAAAGAGAACCAAGAGTGCTTATACTTTGATGGTTGAGATGACTGATAATGCTAGAGTGAGGCCATGGCAGGCCACATACAAGTATTTAATTCAAGAGTTGCTGGGAGTGGGAAAGCTTGAAGAGGCCATGAAAATACTTACTATGATGAAGAAGTACAAAGTTCCACCTTTTACCGAGCCGTTTGCTGCACATTTATCAAAATATGGGACAACAGAGGACGCTAAGGAATTTTTGAAGATATTGTCTGGAAAAACATATCCATCTTCGGCAACGTATCTAAGCCTGTTCAAGGCCTTCTTTGAGCAAGGTAGGTATGCCGAAGCTCAAGATTTACTTTTTAAATGTCCACATCATATTCGCAAGCTTGAAGATGTATGTCAACTTTTTGGCTCTGTAAAAGTTGATAATGCAACTTGAAATGGGCGCAACCTTTTTCTATTTATATTTTTATAATGTTAATATGGACTTGCTTCAATGAAAGTTTTCACGTTGTTTTACCAGTTCTCTATGATGGAAATTTTTTTGTGGTAAAATAAAGTTTGTATCTTTTTGCTTTCGAAGTGAATAATAGGTTGGTATTGGCATTTATTCTTTCTATTTAGTAGTGAGTAGAGGATGAGTCTTTGTATTCTTTCTTGAAGGTATGGCCTTTTTATTTAGGCGATCTGTCTTAATGGCATCTGCGGTGCAATGTTTTGTCATCTGCTTTGTTGCCGATACCATTGGTTAGCAATGAAATGTTTGTTTCTTCTTAAAAGCTTAAATAGTTAACTTCCTGAAAGGTGATATTTGTAAATGTATCTTTAGAAGTATTTTATAAACCACAGAAGGAATGGAATTGCATATGTTGAGCTGTAATTCAATGCCTTAGAAGTTTCATTCCAAGTGATGGAGTATGGCTTATGAGTTTAAGTTTTTATTGTGTGTCAACTAGAGGATATAGCTTAATGCGGAGGTATGGCATAAATGGCCTAACTATTTCTACTCATTTGGTTTGGAATTTAAAGCTACAAAATAAGTTTTAAGTGCTTCTATCTTAATGCCATTGCAAATTTATGTAGCTACAATGAACAGTTTATTATAGGACAAAATCAAGTAAGAAGAGAAGTCCAAATGGAGGAATTTGAAAGAAAAATTGACGCAAGGCTACTTACCCTTGCAGTTAATTTTTACTTCTATTGTAGTCCATTTAATACAGTTACACGGCCATTGTTTTTTTCTTTCTTGAAGAAGGATTATCAGAGGAATACAAGATTTAAGTGTAATGAATATAATATATTCCATATCTTAAGCTTATGAAATCTGAGTATTTAGTTGTGCTTAACGAAGAGAAGATGAAACTTCTACGTTAGCCATACTTGAACTGAATCAGACATGAAATATGAAATTTTGATTCTGGGCACAATGAAAGCCAAAATTGGTGAATATCAAGATAGATGCAACTGCTTGACTAATCCTCAATATAATGTCTTAATCATTGATGGACTTGATTGAGCATCACCCAATATAAAAGATATTTCTTCTTAGTGTTTAGAAAATTTAGGCCTTTATGATCCGTCTTTTCTCTATATATCAAGTACTTATCAATTCCGTGTCTTCATTTACCTTCTCCTTGGAGTGGTTAACGCATAATTCATATAGTCATAATATTTTGCTAAAGAAATTTACTGCAAGTTTGGTTGCCTCCATTTAATTGTAGCAACGTTGCATGGGTTGAAGGTGATACAATTGAGTATTGGAACGATAGTTAACCCACCTTTATAAATATGACAAGTGAGTTTCATTTATGAGATCTTGGATAACATGTTCTTTGGGAAAATTTGATTAGCTTGATGCTAGTGTCTTCATGTGCAGGAAAATTGTTTTTTTGGTTTGATGCTTCACTCGCTAAAATCATTGCATGAAAAATTATATTTTGCCATATATGCATTTTTGACATTTGGCATACACGTGAGTTGAATCTTTGAACACCAACACTCGCGGTATCTCCATGCACATACGTCGCCATATGTCCATTGTTAGATACTTGCATATATTTTGAAGGGGTGATCGCCCGGTGCACAATTCTCCTTAACAAGAATTACACTACTTTTTTGTGGTACCACCTAGGAGTTCCATAGGAATGCTATGTTGTGTCACTTAGCACAGGTCATGCTACCTAACTCCTGAACCCACCTAGTGCACAATGTGTGTTAACGTGGGTGTATGCCAGGAAATGTGCATGAATTTTGTTATGCATGACAAATATCAATCGAAGTTGACTTTAGTCAATCGAGATACCGAGAATGTTAGCTAAAGAAGGTGCACTAAATATAAAACATTTAGCCTTAAAGCTAAACTCAAATATATCCATTAAAAGGTTATCTACTGCGCTAATTTATGATTTGTGGGACAAGCATATCTACCACATTCATTCATGATGAGTGAGATAAGCTAACTCGAACCCGCACATAGCATATAACCGAAAAAATATGGTAGGAGAAATGCAAGACCTCCCTTACATTGATTATTGGCTGCATCAGAAATAGAACACCTAAAGGGAATTGCACCTTGCCCGAATGACAACCAGAGAATCGAGTAAAGAGAAATAGACTGCTTCTCTTATACATGGTCATCATGAACTTCGTCAAGTGTTTTTCTTAGTAAGTATAAGCAATCGCCTTGAATAGTTCACATATCATCGATATTGTTGCTTATGAAAACTCGTAATGAAGGCGGTCTAACTTCCAAAGGGGTGCTTTGGACTCGAGGTTCAACACGTAAAGCATAAAACAGGTGGGTGGCAACCCACAAAGAAGGCAAGTCAACTTCTGAAGGAAGGACTCCCTGGGCCGAGGGTCAGCACGTAAAGCATAGAGCAGGTGAGTGGAAAACTTTTTCTTTTTTATTCTAAAAAAATAAAGATTACTAGTTCAAGTGCGAGTGAAGTTGCTACTATAATATTCAACACAATAGTGTCTCAATGACTGGTACAATGGTTAATGTCATACTGATTGTCTCATGCAACAACTCAATGGGCTCTACAACATGCACAACAGAAGATAAATATCCCAGCCTCGTAGTCGATCGAAGGGAAAACCTCGATCTCCTACTACGAGGACCTTGTGGGAAAATATAAGAAAATAGAGAAATTCTCAAATCACTTGCTTAGACATCTGAGAGGTCTGAGAAAGGAACTCTCTAGAAATAGGACCTTTCCATCTTAAAGAAGAAACCACCCCAACGATCATCTTAGTCATAAGATCAATAGTGGTATCACAAATATCAGCCATAGGCTTAAGATGGCCTGTGTCTTGATGAGGAAAAGATCACCTCGTAATCTAGGTGGGACATGGTCCACACAGCTGAACAAAATAGAGAAATGATTCTCAACCATCAAGATTTGAATGTCCCTCCGGACTAGAGGGGCTATTCTCAGCCATTGGGATTATGAACATCATCCTTGGCTGGAACTGAAATGATTACTGTTGGGGACATGGTCCGTACATCCAAATGAAATAAAGAAACAATTCTTAATAGAAGGGATCTGAGATTGCTTTTGAACTTAAACTGTAAAAGGTAAAGAATCCCATCACTTATTTAGCGACATGTTACTTATGCTCCGGACCTTCTTGCCAAATCTAGGGGTGTTTTCATTTATTTTTCTTTTTTCTTATTTTAAAAGGAGTCGTCAGCTTGTCCATCGTGTTATACTTTCCTTATTCGAATTAATCTCCCTCCTGAACTAAATCAGTGAGTCGAAGAGGAGGATAATCGAATAAGAAGGGACATACGACAAAGAGACAAACAAAAGAAAAAGTAAAGCGTGGAGGATCTACGTGTGATAAACCTCGCAAGGATTGATCAAGACTGTCCGTCCAAACAACATCGAGCAGAGGCACCTTGGACTGATATCCACGAAAAAGTATCTACGTAGTGTCGGCACTATTTTTGGTGTGGGGTTTGCCCGTAGGAAGCTGTCGGTCATCGGAATTGAAATCCCGTTGCCCGCTTCGGAAGGACGTTTAAAAAAATTTAGTTTTGAAAAAGATGAAGTCAAACTGACCCCATAATTTTCATAGTTTAGATGAAAGAGCACTTTATCTCAAATCATGTATCTATCCCGAAGGATGAATGCAAGAATTGAGAGTGAGACTCGATCAAATAAACTAAAGAAAGTTATGACATCCGTTTGGTCTACAAAACCAATGTAATGGCCTACAAGTTCCCCTATTTAATATAAGGAATTAAATAGGGTTTATATTATGCTGGGTTCGAGAAAAGCTTCCTATAAGGGCAA